GCGGGTGGATCATTTGAGGTCAGGAGTTTGAGACCAGCCTGGTAAACATGGTGAAACTCCATCTCTACTACAATACAAAAATTAGCCAGTCACGGTGGCACACACCTTTAATCCCAGCAATTCAGGAGGTTGAGGTGGGAGGATCGCTTGAGCCCAGGTGGTGGAGGGTGCAGTGAGCCGAGATCACACCACTGCACACTCCAGCCTGGATGACAGAGTGAGACCCTGTCTCAAAAAAGAAGAAGAAGAAGACATGTGACCCAGTCTAAGAGGGAAAATACAGGTCTTGGTCACAAGTCTGCTCCCAATTCTGGGTTCTTGGGTAATGTGTGGGCAAATGTGGTGTGCATGTCAGGGATGGGGGCAGATAGCATGTGAGGCAAAAGATGTCAACTCATGCTGACCATTTAAAAGCACTGAGCTGGGCACAGTGGCTCACACCTGTAATCCTAGCACTTTGGGAAGCCAGTGGGCAAATCACAAGGTCAGGAGTTCGAGACCAACCTGGCCAACATAGTGAAACCTCATCTCTACTAAAAATACAAAAACTAGCCAGGTGTGGTTGCAGGCATCTGCAATCCAGCTACTCGGGAGGCTGAGGCAGAATTGCTTGAACCTGGGAGTGAGCGGAGATCACACCGTTGCACTCCAGCCTGGGTAACAGAGCAAGACTCTGTCTTGAAAAAAAATAAATAAAATAAATAATAATAATACAAGCTTTGAGCCAGGTCAGGTGTGGAGCATGCCTGTGATCCCAGCACTTTGGGAGCCCGAGGCAGGTGGATCACCTGAGGTCAGAAGTTCAAGATCAGCTTGGTCAACATGGTGAAACCCCTTCTCCACTAAAACTACGAGAATTAGCCAGGTGTTGTGGTGTGCAACTGTAGTCCCAGCTACTTGGGAGGCTGAGGCAGGAGGATCGCTTGAACGTGGGAGGAAGAGGTTACAGGAAGCCAAGATCGAGCCACTGCATTCCAATCTGGGTGACAGAGAGAGACTCTGCCTGAAAAAAAGATAAAAAATAAAAGCTTTGAACCATTCTTTACCGCCCAGTAGCTAGTTCAGCCTGGATATGTCTTTTGCCCTCTCTGAGGCTCAGAGCCTTTTATATAGTAAATGGGGATCATAAGGGGGTAATAATGCCTGCTCTGCCTTCCAGGGTTGAAAAAATCAGAAAGATTGTAAATGTTCAGATGCTCTGCAAACTATCAAGTATTTTTAAAATGTAAGGCAACTTGCCGGGTGTGGTGGCTCACGCCTGTAACCCCAGCACTTCAGGAGTGAGGTGGGCAGATCACCTGAGGTCAGGAGTTTGATACCAGCCTGACCAACTTGGAGAAATCCCATCTCTACTGAAAATACAAAATTAGCCAGGTGTGGTGGTGCACGCCTGTAATCCCAGCTACTCAGGAGGCTGAGGCAGGAGAATTGCTTGAACCCATGAGGCAGAGGTTGTGGTGAGCCGAGATCGGGCCATTGCACGCCAAGAGCAAAACTCTGTCTTGAAAAAAAAAAAAAGTAAGACAACTTTAGTAATATGGTGGTGATTAATTCCTCCATCCTATAGTCTACTCAGTTATTCAGGTAAAGTTATGGAAGGTCTGACTTTGAAAGCTCAAGTGAAGTCATTTCACAAACACTTACATAGTTTTTGTTTTTCTTCCTCTGTAGAAAGAGGATCAAAGATCTCAGTTGGGCTGAGTTTTCCAGCTTTAGGTGAAAGTGCAGGGTGTGGTTGGTCTGCAGTTCCTGGGCATGGGGAGATAGCATGAAAGTGGGACCCTCAGCCGGGCGCGGTGGCTCAGGCCTGCAATCCCAGCACTTTTGGAGGCCGAGGCGGGCGGATCACGAGGTCAAGAGATAGAGACCATCCTGGCCAACATGGTGAAATCCCGACTCTACTAAAAATACAAAACATTAGCTGTGTGTGGTGGTGCACACCTGTAGTCCCAGCTACTGGGGAGGCTGAGGCAGGAGAATCACTTGAACCCGGGAGGCGGAGGTTGCAGTGAGCCAAGATCACATGACTGCACTCCATGGTGACAGAGTGAGACCCTGACTCAAGAAAAAAAGAAAAATAAAAAAAAGTGGGGCCCTCAGGTGAAGTTCCCACTTCAGGGATTCCTCTCCTGCTGCATTAGGGAACTACCACAAAGGTCCCCTCTCACCCACGTGACTCCTCAGCCGGCAACGAAAACAGAAAATCGCCCACCTGAGTATTATTGCATTGGTGCAAAAGTAAAAGCGGTAGTAAAAACCACCATTACTTTTGCACCACCCTAATAAACTGAAAAACACCACCTCATGGAGATTAGAGCAAAGATGATTAGAGACTTTGCTTTTTTTTGCTTTTTTTTTTTTTTAAAGATGGGGTTTCATCATGTTGGTCATGGCTGGTCTTGAACTCCCGACCTCAGGTGATCCGCCCACCTTGGCCTCCAAAGTGCTTGGATTACAGGTGTGAGCCACCACGCCCGGCCTTTTTTTCTTTTTTTCAAGACAAGATTTCACCATATTGGTCAGGCTGTTCTCAAACTCCTAACCTCAGGTGATCCGCCCGTCTCAGCCTCTCAGAGTGCTGGGATTATAAGCGTGAGCCACTGCACCCGGCGAGACCTTGTTTTAAAGAGACTCGGCAGCTCTAGAAGATCCACTGCATGTTGCTTGAACACATTTTGGCATCTGCTGGGCATATTTAGGATGCAGGCTTTTG